GACACCATACTCCCGTTTCTATAAAACTCCGTGTTAAAGTGGCAGCCAGCACCAGCCCTCCCCTCCAACTTCATGCACAGAGCCAATACATTGGGAGTACAAGTATGGGGGATGCCTTATGTATGCGTGTACACGAGAGCGTCGGGGGATTAATTAGTGTGGGGAATGCGCAAAACCTCGGTTTGGTGATGCTTGCACATCAGTGGTGGTCCTGAATCGGCAACCAGTAGCAAAGGAGTGCTGTATTTTTGACTCTTAAGTTTTTTCTTGGTGCGCGGTGTGGTTTGGCTTGGAAGAAGTTATCTGGCGTCTTTTTTCTTTTGGGGTCACGCTTTCCACTTAATTTCAATTTAGTGCGATCGTAGCTATGGCGTTTCTTGTCCAAGGGTTAGTGACAAGCGTTGATTAAACCTCGTGAAACCGTTAGGTGCTAGATAGAAATCCCCATCTATTTAGTCAACCGAGAGGTGATCCACCAACCGTTTTCTTCGTCATAACTGGGGTTTTTTTTCGTATGATGGATTTTGTTTTAAACACGACGTTCTCGTGTTGCGGTGAGGGGTAGTGGTATTGCCTGTACATGTACAACACATCCGTACCTTCCTATTTTTTAGTTGATTAGAATTTTGATTTATGAAGAGAAAAGTAGAGAATGCAGCCCGAAAGTATTCCAAATTTGCGTATAATTGTTTGTTTTAATCTATGACTCTCTTAAATTGATAAATCTAAAATTCCGAATGTTCTCAGGTAAAAAGAGTTACATCGCTAATTTTCATTTTAAAGTAATTTGTAAGCTTAGTCAGGAATAAAAACAACTTCGTCCAGCGAAGGTTACCATGTTGGGTCACCGATGTATAGGGGGGATTCGATGATAATTTCAAAAAGTCATTGTTTCTCCAACTATTCATTAATTGATGAAACACGAAGTTTTTTATATTTTTTTTGGATCATGAAAAATGATTTAGTTAGTGGAATCATCAGTTCCAGTGATTACTGTTTTGTCATTGCATTTGATAACACGATTTATACATTTTTTGTTTGTTTGTTGTTGTTTGGCGATTTTAATAAATATTGAGAATTCAATTGAATTTTCCTTAGGGTGCGATTACATGGAGGCGGATGGACGTCCGGCAAGTTAGGGAAAACGACGCGCGGTTGTTTTGATTTGAAATACGAAAAGCCTGCCTTGCATGTCGGTATTAATTTTTTTTTAATTATTTCAAATACCATGGAAAAAATATTGAAATCTGGAAGGAAATGATTAAAAAGGTTGTAAAGGAGCTAAAAAAAAATACGTTCAGCTGTTTAAAATAATTAAAAAAAAAAAAAATATATCACCACCATGCAAGGCGGGTTTTTCTTATTTTAAATTAAAATAACCGCGCATCGTTTCCCCGAACGTGCGGGTCGTACATCCACCTCCATGTAATAGCACCCTTAAGGTAAGACCTCCTAGTCAAAGAGTACCGTACTAGTCAAATTACTGCGCGAGTTCGAGTTTGACTTCGGCAGCAGTGTTGATAATGCAGACGACGTGTGTACCCGCATCAGTGCGTAAACACGTACGTCTGCTAAAGTGACAGAATAGTTATTTTTTAGTAGTAATTTTACTGTTCGTTATTTTTGTCAGTAAAGTATTTTTGAAATAATGAATGAACTTCAAAAAGATTCTGCAAACAAACTATCCAGGCACTCGTTACGTCAAATTCTCATCGATGCCTATAATAAGGATATACAATGTGGAATCAAAATTTTACTATCAACGAGCATTAATCTTTAAGTACGAGTAACGTCTTCCCTTGATGTTGTTAATATTATAAATAATACAATAAAAAATGTAATTACTAGTATGTAACATTTACTCATTCATTATAATTTCACAAACATTAATGTGATTAAAAACTGTGTTCATGAGATTGTACAAAAAAAATTTTATTAAATAAAATTTAATTATAGTACCAATTTATTACTGATATTCATTATTTATTATCAATTTTGTACTAATATTCATTCATATTTATTATTCATTAACCGATATTTTATGTTTCGCGCACAAAAAACAAAAACAAAATTGACACCACAAGCATTTTCGTTACTGTTCGCTTTTAAAAAACCGCGCGCTAACATATACCAATATGGCGGCTTCCCCGACTTCTTCTCGTAATTACAAAACCAGTATTTACGTTCGTTTTTGTTAAATATCTCGAGAAATTGGCCGTCAACCCATATTGTGCTCAACACGATCCGAAAGAAGAGGATTTTCTCTACAAGTTTCATATACTCACTTTACTCAGATTTTTGTTTTTTATTCGTAATATCTGATTACGTCACTTTTTTCTCGTTTTTTTGTATGCGCCTGTATAAAACATTCGAACCTTGAGCTTTAATATCTCGAGATTTTGTCCGTCATCAGGCATAACTGAAGGTACCATTGGATTCAGCGGGTCTTCATCTATTTAATTACATAAGTCTTGTACCCCAGATTTAGGCGGAAGTCCTACCTTTAACTAAGTATTTTATTCGGTTGCCTCTATCCTCAACTTCTCTGTCTACCGTGATTCTGTTCACTGCGCGGGCCACCTTACTCAACGAGCCACCCTCCAAAAAGTGGACCGTGGCAAAATATATATTCTGAGTAGTATATGCAGCACAGTGTAAACAATACAACTAAAATCAAAATATTCGTGTTCCTTTGAATTACATACTAGTTATCAATTTAAAATAGAGCAGTGCCAATCTTATTATTTTTCTCGAAATCTTCGAATCAATCTACATGATTAAAAATGTTAGTTTTTGATAAGCAATTTGATGAAGAAAATGTCAAAAAGTTACATAATCAATACTTGAAATTTTTTTTAAGGCAAGAAATGGCGCTTGCGCTATTATATTTATTGTATCAATAATTTAAGCGTTTAGTAAGTGCCCTGATATACGTGGGGATAGGCGCTTGCGTTATTTTGTTATTTTAACAATAATCAAAGCGACCAGTAAGTGCCCCGGGCTGTGAAGGGATAAGTGCTTGTGTTATTATTTTATTTATTGTAAATTAAGTAAACGACCAGTAAGGGCCCCGGGTTGTGTGAGAGTTAACGCTTGTGTTATTATTTTATTTTATCAATAATTAAAGCAGCCAGTAAGCCCCTCCGGTTGTGTGGGGATTGGCGCTTGTGTTATTATTTTGTTTATCATAAATAATCAAAGCGACCAGTAAGTGCCCCGGGTTGTGTGGGGATTGGCACTTGAGTTATTATTTGATTTTATTAATAATTAAAGCAGCCAGTAAGCGCCCTCGGTTGTGTGGGGATTGGCGCTTGCGTTATTATTTTATTAATCATAAATAATCAAAGCGACCAGTAAGCACTCCGATATGCGTAGGGATAGGTGCTTACGTTATTATTTTATTTTATCAATAATTAAAGCAGCCAGTAAGCGCCCTCAGTTGTGTGGGGATTGGCGCTTGCGTCATTGTTTAATTAATCATACATAATCAAAGCGACCAGTAAGTGCCTCGGGTTGTGAGGGGATAAGTGCTTGCGTTTTTATTTTAATCATTATAAATTAAGTAAGCAACCAATAAGCACCCCGGGTTGTGTGGGGATTGGCGCTTGCGTTGTTAATTAATAAATTTTATAATTCATATAAACTCATGAGGCTGCTTATTGGCCCATTGGGTTATTGGGTTAACTAGATCGGGATTAGTTTATTAGGTTATTGTGCATGCAATTGTGTCGAGTTATTTTGAGATTTGCGTCTTGCTCCATTCAGCCAATTTAAACTTCCCGCAAGTTTGCCAGTCACATTTGGGGAGAACCACTGGCTTCCTCCTTCCTCCTATTCAGCTTTTGCATTTTTCTCACTAGGATCTGTAGCTATATATAGGCCCTAGTGGCAAAAATGCACAATAATATCCGCCTTACCCAAAACTGGCTGTATTATACATATATATATATATATATAACACGACACAAGGCCTCTTGTGAGCTGCAAACTTTATTAATTGTTATTTTTTTTTTTTTAATGCATTTTTAATTCTCAGAGAGTAAATTTTTAGTGTTCAGAATTTGTATTATTTGTTTTAAAAGAAAAAAATTTTTGTTTTATTATTTATTCAAATAATTGCTTAATTATCAAATGATAGTTATCTGTTCCAAACAAATCTTTGACATTGGAAATGGATACTTTAAGTGGTATATAGTATAAGTTTACGCTAGGTAACTATTGCCGACAGCGCCACTAAAGAGTGAAAATTTTTACTTCATTTCGTTGATATTAAAATTAAAATATTTTGAAGTGAAAGTATTATCAGAATCGTGTTTTCTGTGATGAACTTTACCTAATGAGATGTTTATTTAGTTATAACTTAGTAATACAAAGTTTCTTCAAACCACTTTTGCTTATTTTCGCCGCCCGTTTTTGAGATAATTACCTAGCGTATAAAAAAGCATTGAAACTACATAAACAATTAACAAAGTTTGCAGCCCATGAATAGCTATGTTATCGTGTTATCCAGCATGGACTCTTTATGTCCTGCAGGTGGTGCTGTTTCATATGAGTGCACATAATCTGGTGAATGCGTCGATTTATTGTTAACATATGAAAGAGCAACGAATTTTCAAACAAGAAATAAATTAACAAAAAATTATGAAGCGCAGAAGGAATGAGAAACCTAGCTAATTACATAGCACTAGATTTGCACACCTCCACCCTCTGATACAATAGTTTTTTTACTGGTCATAGACTTCTTTTTGAATAATTACAACACTAACAATTAAAATAAAAACAAAAAACGTAATTTAGAATGCATCAACCTTACATATCTTCTAAATGTTATAGTATCTCAAAGGGCATCTGATGACATTAAGACACATCGAGATCTTATGTACAAATATTACACAATTGATTTGAATAATTATTACCAATATGTGAACTCTTTTATCAACACATTTATAAACTGAAATTTCACGTTAACTCTGAAATTTGAATAAAAAAGTGATACTTGCATTATTGTTGGACTCGCAATATTTTCCTAAGTGAAATGCAGCTGCTTGCAATACAGAAAATGTTAAATTAATTTCTTGAATATTTAATTCTTCGTTTGAAGGAAGTACAATACTTTCAGTAAGTACCATTTTTCATAAACACTACGTAACGACAGTGCTGATAGATATTATGACTACGACAAAACTTTTTGAACACTACCAGGAACGTAAAAAACACGTTTGATAAAATCAGATTGTCTTTTAAACTTTTACTATGACTTTTCTGTAGAAATGTTTCTAATTCACAGCCAGTTCTATTTCTTATTTAACAAGTATATCCGTAATGGAGTGCCATGACCTAACAATGTTTCAAATTGATTTGTCGCCTTATATCGACTGATATCGATATAGACCAAGTGCTGAGGTCCGAGGGTGGTCAAAATTTCAACCAGCCGCTACTTTCACCAGAATTAAGGAACTTTATGATTGTTGGAGATCCAAAATATTCCAGACATTTTGAATTTAAGTAAAGAGTTATGTGGTAATATAGTGGTGCCAAATAGTCTTTTTTACTAACCAGCCGCAACTTACATTCGTATGTAAACAATTGAAAGTTGTTAGCGAAAGTGCCATTTGCGCAAAATGAGAATGCATCTTATACCCCAAATTTGACCTCCAAAAAAATAGATATTATATTATTGTCTTTAATGTAATCTGCAATACCTCATCTATTATCTTAGATATGTATTATAGATAAGATCGGGTAGAGGGTCTAGTTTTTTGAAGGTCGATTTTCGGGTACAAGATGCACTGTAATCTTTTCCCAAATAGCACTCTCGAAAAACAACTTATTATTTACTATCTGATGGTCTAAAATGCGGCTGGCTTAAAAAAAACCAAATGGCACTTTTTAAAAACCAACAAAACTCTTTACAGGAATTGAATATGACAAAAGTGTTTTGTACCTCCACGAATCATAAGGGTCTTCAACTCTGGTAAAAGTGGCGGCTGCTTAAAATTTTGACCAACCATTGGCCTCAGCTCTTGGTCTAAAAAGTTAAAATTGTCTGTTCGACCGTTCGACGTTCGTCGCTCGCGCAAGACCACGAACCTGACACGGACTAACCGCTGGACAGCCGTAGCTTGACACCAAGTCCTGGCCAGGCAGCAGCTGTATAACTTTGGCCCCCAGAGTTTATAAATACCAAAATAAAATACACCATTAGATTGCGCGTAAAAAATACAACAAATTAGCGAACTTAACTTTTTTGCGCGTTGCCTTATTTTTTAATTATAAATAACAATTACTTGGTGGCTGCCCCCAAATTTCAATTTTATGATTTGCTTGAGTAGTAAGTCCTACAAAAATAAGTAAAGGCTTAAAAGATACAACAATTAAGCGAACTCAACTTTTTTGCGCGTTGCCTTATCTTTTAATTATAAATAACAATTACTTGGGGGCTGCCCCCAAATTTCAATTTTATGATTTGCTTGAGTAGTAAGTCCTACAAAAATAAGTAAAGGCTTAAAAGATAGCGCGTGCATTGCGCCTGTTGCCCCCGAAATAGTTTTTTATAATTAATAGATAAATTATTGCAAAAATTGTAATAAAACATTTTATTGTAAATTTTTTGCCCTCGCGCATGCGCAGACGATCTCCAACAAGTCTTGCGCT